CCCCAAAACCCCAAAACCCCAAAACCCCAAAACCCCTTGCTATTTGCTTAAGCTTGATTTAATTTATTTTAAGGCATCAAACCAGAATTCCTAGAATACAATATTGCTTTTAGAAATAATCAATCATCAATTAATAATCACTTTCCTCTTCCTTGATCTTGGTAAGTACTCCCGCCATTTGCTTCTGAATGACATTCTTGAGCTTCCGTTCCTTATTTTCACTAAGGCCTATTGTGATTACCAGAAGAAAATACCATGATCTTTGCAGAAAATAGAAGCTATTTGCATTGCATCATCTCCATCTAAAGAGCAAACATTAAATGATATTTGTAAAAAAACTGATTTGAAATATTAAGTAAGCCAAGCAGCATATCGATCAATGCAGACTATTAACTAAAACCGGAAGCAAACTGTATGAATTAAACAAATTCTTTTCCTGATACTAATTTATATAAACTAGAGAAAGCTCCCTTCAAGGATTATAAATGATAAGTCAGGGTACCATAAATGATTAATCTTTTGACTTTTCCTCCTCCGAGATTGACATCCAAGAAAAGGATGGGGAATCGTTCTTCATCTGTATCGCTACCACCTCCCGGTTCAATCTTATCATCAAAGGAATGCTTTTGGATTACTTCTTCTTCCACAATTTTGATTTTATCTAAAATTTTACAAGCCACTTACCTTTTTCTTGATCGAGAGGAGGTGAAGGAGTTATCCCTCTAGAGTTATCAATGGATGAATCTGTTGTAATATAAAGCTTGTTCTGAAGATATTTTGACAAAGATTTTGGGTCTGACTCATCTGTATCACATCTCGAGTCTATTCTACTTAGAGGTTAAGTTACCTTGTTTATCAACAATATACTCCTTTAATGGGTTACTTCCTTCTTTGTTCGAACTTCCATTGGTTTTCATTTGGTTTTCAGGTGCTTCCTTAGAGGTTTCTTCCACCAATTCTTTATCTTCTTCATTTAATGTTGGTTCTTCTTTTATAAGACTTGAAGAATCTCTGCTTTCAGGAGAATCTTCATGAAGAATATTTACGATTTTTATTGACATGTTCGCCTTTTCTTGAATAACATCTGATCTTTCAGGTTCAGGGTTTCCAAAATTAGATGACTGTTGATCATTTTGTTGTCTTGGAGTTCTAATATTTAAAATTGAGTCTCACCGATTCAGTCCAATAATTTTCTCTATTTCTTGACTCATCAAATTTTTTCTTTCCTGGCGATTGTTTGCTATACTTTCATGGCCTCTCTCGCTAATAATCTTAGATTTAGGATTAATTTCAGGTTTGAAAGTACATTCTGTATATTCTTTCTGACTCACTTGTTGTTTCATCTTCAAACGATTTTCTTTATATTTTTCTCCTCGGTAAATTAGAAGATCAACTGCTCTTCAAGTTGAGTTCTGGGAATGACTCAACTGAGAGTTATGCATTTCCTTTTCGAGATTATGGTAAATAGATTCTCCTAATTCTTTACTGATGCTGCCTAAAGATAGATGTAACCTCTTACTTATATTTGAGAGTATAATTTGATCTTTTCTTTTATTCCGGTCATTTCTAGCCTTCTCTCTGTTTTCCTTTAATTTCAAAGAAAAGAAATTCTTCACTTTGGAATTGACTTTATTTGAAGAGCCTGGCTTGGAGTATTTTATATTTCTGTAGAGGTCTTGAATATGCTCACTGTTTAAATAACTATCGTTCGGATCTAGCCTGACTTCACTCTCATGGTCTTTAAGTAAATCTATCTTGGAATGTTGAACAGTAGAAGCCTTATCACTTTGTTTTTCTTCTTTCTTTTTCTTACTATCTTTTGTACTTTGGACTGAAGAAGATTCTTTTTTATTTAAATCAAGGGCCTTGAGAAGGAACATTTTGAGATCGCTTCTTAGGACAAATCCTTTAGTATCTCCGTTCATTGTCTTCCACCCTTCAAAGACTTCCTCACTTTCGGATATTTTTGATTCATCAGAATAATTCATGAAAACAATATGTTTTAAAGCAATAAGGTATTGATCATATTGCACTTCAGCATCCTTCTTATTAGGAATTTCGAGACTATCCATAACTTCATTGAACTTTCTGGAAAAGTTTCCGATTAATATTTTTCTAGACCTCCCAAGCATCTGGTGAGTCTTGCTTGTTTTATGATAAACTTCTTCTTGAACTAATTGGTTCCTATTCTCTGCTCTATTTTATTGCATCTTTGTATAAATCTTCAACTCACTCAAGGTTTTTCCTCTCCTTTGACTTTTTAGAATTTATCTTTTTAGAGCGATTATTGATTACAGGGACGAACAACTTCTTACGATTGTCTATATATAAATATATCCTTCTGCTTACCTCTTTCTGTGCTTAAATAATAGAGATCATCAAATTTATGTTTTTGCTTACACTCTTTGACTTTGATCATCTTCTTCTTACTTTCATCATAGAGTTTATCATGGATACTTGTATTTGAGTTATTATCACTACTTTTCGTCCTTGATCTTTTCTTCTTATGGCCAATTTCCTTCCTCATCTGAGAGATTTCTTTCCTCTCTTTATCAATCATAAGCTGTAGCATTCTTTGATTTTTCTGGCCCTCTAATTTATTCATATGGTCCAGAAAATTCTGGTGTGAACGATGGAGTGTTAGCTTTTTAGCTTTACTGTTCTTATTCGATCTGTCAGTTTTTAGCTCATATCTAATGTCACTCCGTAAGTTCTTTTCATAGAAACAAGTCGCGCTATTATCTCTTCTGGCAGACTTCAAGCTCTTTGTGGTTTTGTTATAAAGTCTTGAGAATACTAGCCCTTTGTTGCCTCCAATTTTACTATTTTTATTCAGTGTACTTTCTGATGATTTTCCTCTGTGATATCTTCTAAATAGAAAAGGAATGCATACTTTGCACTATTTAGCTGGATTTCATCAACCGAGTTTAGCACTTTAGGTTCTAACTTGCCCATTTTAACTCTTCTTTTGCCTCTCTTTCGGAGATCAGGGGTTGCTAAAAGTTGTTTGTTTAGCCTACATTTAAGTTTTGCCTTGCTTGCATTAATCCCATTAATTGTAGTTGGTAGTCCTTTTGGTTTAAAATTTTGACTTCCAAATCTGATATACTTTGAATATTTCTTATCCTTATTCTTTCCAAATTTGGAAGTATTGTTTGAGTGGATATTTTCTGGATTTCTAGCTGTAGAAGGTTCCTTGCTCTTATTTTCTCTGGCATCTAGAAGTTATCATTAGCATACTTAATTTATTCCTGAAGTCTTTAATTGAAAACTTGTAATTCTTCCGAGTAACTGTTTCTTTAGTTGATCTTGGATTATGAGAGTGTAACAAGTTATCCATTGAAGTAAAATTCTTTAACTTCTTGAACTTCCTCTCTAAGGTATTATAGGTTTGAGTATTAGCAAATTTGTTATTCTGTTTTTGTTTCTGAGTCAAATCGGTTTGATTTTCTAGACTTTATTGTAATAAATACTTTGATTAGTCATGTAATTACTAGTCTTCAAACTTTTTCCTTTTTGCTTTTGTTTATTGATTCCATTCAGATTAGAAGTGTTGCTTAAGAATATTGAAAGGTCACGATTCCCTCTTTCGTTTTTCAAAAATCCAGTTGTTGAAAGATGGGTTCTTCGGTCTTTCTGAATCTCAAGAGTCCCATATTTTCCCTCTTTCATATACTTTTTCTGATTATTTTAAGTTATCTCCAGCTTGATCTATTTAATTGTCAGATACATTTCTCAAACACCTCGCCTCAATATCTAAATCCCCTTATATAAAATAGAATCTGGTCAAAGCTGCTTAAAATTTGTATAAAACTCTCTATCTGTTCTCTAAACCCTTAAAAGCACCACCTTGCAATCTTAACTTACTCCTTCCTACTCTTCCCATCTGGTAATGCCCGTAGTTAGTTCTAAGTTTTCTTTTCTTGGCTGAGTTGTTTTTCTTAGGAGTCTCTTTCTGGCTGATTTTCTTTTCAGATATTATCTTTGAGTGGGCCAATGGGATATCCATGAATAAAAATATATTAATTTAAGTTTGAATTGAAACGGGGTTTTGGGGTTTTGGGGTTTTGGGG